AATTTTTTTTTGTAAAATCATATCAATGTTAATTAAAAATAAATTATCACATGTACATACGTATAACTAACGGTAATTCTTCCGTTCAATTATTTGTTTTGTTATCCTCCATCTACTTTCCAAGTTTGATCTGCATAATCCCATTGGCTCTTTCGACCATCCCTTGTGATTCCAGATGTCTTGGTCATCCATTGATAATACATATTCCTGGCCAAAGAGTTAATAATTCTGCAATAAGATTTGCAGTAAACTCCTTTCCGTTATCTGACTGCAAGATAGTTGGAGCTCCAAATACAGTAAAAATATCAAAGAGGAATACTGCTACTTCTGAGGCACTTTTACTTGTAAGACATTGAGCCCAGGAAAACCTGGTAAAATGGTCACGCATGTGACAGATATATTTGTAATTACCCACAGGTTGGAATGCTAATCCAACTAAGTCTATCTATACACAAGTAAGAAAACCTGATGCTACGATTGGTTTGGCAGCAAGAGCATTAGGAAAAGATCTATGTGTAGCACATGTTTTACAAGCACCACAAAATTCTCTTATAAATAACTGAGGAATATAATCATACTGCTTTCCAATCTAAAAAATTAAGTCGTTATTAAAAATTTCTAATTATAGTAAAAAATTTATAAATAAAACATTACTTACAACATTTCACATTTTAGATGCCCCTACATGTTTCAAAACACTCATATGAACTTTACATAATGTATCATAAAGGCGGTTAAATGGACATATTGTACGTATTAAGTCCAACCCATTTTCATCTTTAGCAACAGTAATAATTTGGGTGTTTGGAGTTGTTTCAGTTCCTAATTCACGAAGTTGAAAAGAATTTTTAATCCAAAATCGATTTTTTGGTGTTCCTAAAGATGTATTGGTAGGGTCATGAAGTACTGCAATTATAAGATTGTAGTCATCTTGCGAAATAAAGGTTTTACGGTGTCTAGCCGGTGTTTTTTTTTAAGGAATTTATTGATTAAATCATTAAAAGCTTCTCTCGAAATAAAGGAATATTCTTGGGTTGACATTTTGAATGAAGAAACTTTTGTAAAATACAATTACTAATGCACGTTATAATTAATTAAATAATTACTGCATCAAGTGATTTTTTAATGATCAATTTTTAATGATCCGAAATCTACATGAGTCATTTCGGGATTCGAAATCCACTTAAGTAGATTCTGAATCAACATAATCCTGAATCGACTTACAACAAATATAAGGCATTCACTTATTTTCAAAAATCTGCCGAAATGGGTGATGCTGATGGATTAAAAGAAGTCAGTTATTGTTATCTCTATGGAATCGGGGTTGAACAAGACGAATATAAGGCTTTTATTTATTATAAGAAATTAGCTGAAATTTGACAATATGGCTTGATTTATAAATTGTAATCGTAATTATTTAATTTTCTGAATAAAAAATCAAACAGAAAAAAAAAATATTGCAAATTAATCTTTTACAATGAAGTATTTTGTATAATTAAAAATTGTGGTTTTTTTTAATAAAATAATTCTTGATTGGGATGGTTCAGGTGAGGCACACTTGGGTTTGAAAAATTTTTCAACTTTTAATTATTGTCCTGTTGGATATTATCATAAGAACGAAATTGGAGATGAAAGATGAAAATATGGCATTTATTTATTATCAAAAAAATTATATAAAAACAAAAACTAGCAAAATTTTATATACTAAATAAGAATTAGTAGTTGTACCCGCCCGGGTAATTTGATAATGCACAGATAGAAGTTTTCCAAACGGATACAATCTATAATAATAGTATAGTATAAGTTTTTTATAAAGAATATATAATGTTGGATGTTTTAGTGACCTGAACCGAGAAAAAAAATCTTCAACAGTTAACCAAACCGAAATAATCATGGTTAACCAGTTACAACCGGTGTTAGCCTATGATATAAAATGATCTATATGACCTTTATGACCTGTCATAGGTAATTCGGTCATACTGAAGATTGATATGACTTATGACCTTTTTTAATATAGTTAGAATTATAGTAAAGGTTTTTTTTATTAGCATTTAATATGACCAATATGACTATGACCAAAAGTCATATGATTATATGACCAAGGTCATATAGTAAAAAAATGCTATGACAGCCAACACTGGTTACAACCAATTAGTGATGCAAAATGGCTCTGCAGAGCCGTGAGCTGATCAGCTTAGCCGCAGCTCTTATCGGTTCGGTTACAGAACGGCTCGGCTAATGATGGCACGGCTTGTGTTATGTGAGTTGTTTAGAGCCGTAAGCCGATCACAAAGCTATCGCTAACGTAATTACATACTGTAATTAAAATTAATGATAAACTGTAATAAACTATACCGATGATGATATATTTAATAATTTCGTTTATTATACAATAAATAACTTCTTTTTTTTTTTTACTTTGAAATGTCAAAATGGATCTTAACGACTCTTATTGTAATAATTCACCAGAATCCCAAGATCTTTTACAAGATATGTCTGATAACAATATAGCTAGTTCAAGCACAGGCATTACTTCCTTTTCTTTAGTTGCTAGAAATAGAAAACCATCCATAGTCACACCATATTTTACAAAAAAAACAAAGAATGATGTTAATTCTCCAGTTATTTGTGCTATTTGCAAAATGAATTCAGCAAAAAAACAGCAACAGGCACATTACGCAAGCATCTTGATATACAACACCCAGGGTGGAGCACGATTGAACTTTTTGCGCTTACGCAAAATAATGCAGTTTTAGTACAAACTTTAACCATTGATCAAAAAGCACAATCTAATATTTTATTGGCTGAGTAGATTGTTTCGGATACCTTACCATTTTCAACTATTGAAAGTAAAGCATTAATTGCATTGTTGCACTTTCTTAATGCCACTCTTGAGTTACCTTTACATGAAACCATCAAGCTGATTGTACAAAACTCTTTTATTTTAATGAGAAATGATGTTCAAGCCCTTTTTGAGCAAATTCCTAGTCGGATTTCAATTACATTAGATATCTGGACTTCTCATGCTAATATGCCCTTTCTTGGTGTTATCACACAGTGGATTGACAGTAATTGGAACTTAAAAAAAATTTTAGTTAATATGTATATGTTACTACATTCACATACTAGTGAGCAGTGTATAAAATCTTACCTCAAAAACATGTGAATATTGTGCATATTGTATACTTAATTTATGTGAATAAATTTAAAAATTAATGCACTATAAATTTTTATAATACTATAAAAAATTTTATATAAATATCTATTTTAATTTACATATATAAAAATAGCCTATAATACAATGTGCTCTATATGCACATAGTTAAGATTTTATTAATAAATTTGGTGCATTAAGTGGCTAGAAATCTTATGAATTTCATGCACATTTCTAGCTAAAAACATGTGAAAACTTTTAAAAACATATGCTCATAAGCACATTGTATACATAGATTTTATACACTGTCGGTAAGGATATTAAAACAAAATTAGAATCTATTTTAGCAACATTTAAGATTACTATAAAGATCATTTGTGCAACTAAGGATAATAGATCTAATGTTATTTCAGCAATTCGGTTATTAAATATGCACTTATTTATACAAAATTTTTATTCACATCATTGTTTTGCACATGTTTTGCATCTCATTGTAATGGCAGGAATGACACCAATTAAAACATCAATTGAAAAAGTGTGTAGATTTGTGAAGGCTATTACATTGTCATCTACAATTATTCAAGATTTTAAAGAAATTGGACAATCAGTTGATGAAGGTGAAGTAGTTTGCAAAATTTCACAGAATGTATCAACTAGATGGAATAGTACTTACCTTATATTATTAGTTTATACATAAATGCTTACAATGATAGCAGTAGTTATGAGGTATCATAATAATCTTGCTTATTATAAGCTTACGCCACAAGAAGATTTTGATCTTCAAGTTGTTACTCAATTTTTACAACCATTTTATGAAGTTACTAAAATACTTTCTAATAGTATATATATAACATTGGAACTTTCTATTTTTTTAATGAATGATATTGTTGATGTTATTAGATCATGTATACAAGATTCTTTAAGCCTTTTATTTCTTAAAACTGCTGCAACACAAATGTTGAAAAAACTTAATCAATATATAGTTTATATATACAATAAAGCAGCTTTTATAGCTTCAGTTCTTGATCATCAAATCAAACTTGAATTAATATCAATTAATATGAACATTTCTAAAAATTATGACTTTTTTAATGATATTTTTCAAGATTATCAGTGCTTGAACTAAATGTTAATATGGCTTCAAATGCTAGAAAATTGTTAAATTCAATAATATATATAGAAAAAGTGGCTCAAAAATAACAGCAAGTTAATGTTTTAAGTAGTTCAAGTCAAATGGATAAACTTTCTCAATATTTAAGTGAAGCTACCTTACCAATTAACATTAATTCTTTGGAATAGTAGAAACTCAATAGTGTTCATTTTTTAGACATATTATAAATGGATAAAGACTTTCTTGCAATTCAGGCTATATTAGTATTTTCTGAACAAATATTTTTGAAAGCAGGCAATACTGTTCAGGCTATACATGTATGTCTTTTAGAAAAAAGCGTACAAGCACTAATGTGTACTAGCTTATAGTTGGAACATGTCATTAGATTTCAAAGAGATTAATAAATTTTTTTTTAAAAAAATTTTTTAAATTTTTTTTTCTTTTAAAAAAAAATGTTTTTTTAAAAGTTTTTTTTTATTATTTTAAAAAATTATTTTTAATTATACATTTCTATATTATGTTTTTACAAACTTGCAAATTATGAATTCTAGAGGTATTTGTACGTACAATACATGTATTTACACTAAATTTAGTTTTTTTTTATAATGATAATGATAATAAAATTAAAGCTGGCTCTTGTCGGCTCAGCTAAAATGCAGCTTAGCTCAAAAATGGCACAGCTCTATTATAGTGATGTGTAACAGAGCCAAAGCTATTTGTTTGCATTACTACAACAATTAAGATTCTGGGTAGGCTAAAATTGGCCAATTTGTTTTACCTTGAAAAATCTTGAAAGTTTACTTGATTTTTCCTCGAACTTAAGTTCATTTATTTTCTTTTCAGAAATTTTCTAAATAGTTACTATTTCCTTTAGTATCACTTACATACTATATTTGATCCTTTTATTCAGATTACATATTATAACCAATTGTAACAGATCAACTGATTAAAAATTTTACCAACCAGTTCAATCTGATTTTTGTGATTTAACTTCTGAATGTTAGTATATTTTAAATCTAGAAGCTATGCATATATAAAGCCTGTAATATTTTATGCACAAATATCTAGTGTGTTTTAATTGATGTTTTATAATTTTTATTTGCTTTTCCTTGATTATTATATTTATATACAGTCAGACCTCCCTAAATGCAAATCGTCGGGACTAGCTCTAGAGCATGCATTTAGGGAGGGTTGCAATTAGAGAACACTAATAAAATAATAATGTTACTATTATTATGTGATAAATATAGCTTTAGTAGCCTAGAAATGATGAATTTGATTGGCCAATAATCACGTGGTTGCATTTATGGAGGGAGTTTTTATAAGTGGGCCAGGCAATTAGCGTGCAATTGCAGAATAAAGAACGTTCATTTATCTATAAATCCCATTATGGGACTAGTCTTCTATCATGCATTTAAAGAGGTGTTGCATTTAGGGGGGTTGCATTTAGGGAGGTCTGACTGTATATTGTATTACTATCATATTTTTTTTTATTATTATGAGTGTTTCATGTGTGTTCTATTTTTTTTTTCTAATTTTTGTCATTATTTCTTTTTTTTTCATGTTGGTTCTTTTTACCAGTTTGATAAATAAATATTTATTGATCATCAAAGTTTGTAGTAAAAAATTCTTAATTTATTTTTTTATATATTGGGTTTATTATCACATAAACCTGCCACATATTTTAAATGCATCAATTTTGCTACCCTTTGTCAGTTTCACACATTTGTCAGTCTCACTTTTTGTCAGCTTCACATATTTTGTCACACCTTTTTTTCAGTCTGTCACCTTTCATCAGTTTCATCACTTTTTATCAGTTTCATCACTTTTCATTAGTTTCATTGTCTTTTATCAATTTTGTCATTTTGTCATTTAGATTTAATTAATAGGTGAAGCTGGTTATTATAAATTATCTTATAGTAGTAAAAATAGCATGGTGAACAAACCCAAATTTGGTGATGATCATCATAATTGAATAAAAAATTTTTCTTTTATAGGCGTTAAAGTACTTTTCATTTTGGTAATCTTTCAAGAACTACCAATTAAATACATTAAAAAAATAAAGTAGCAAGAAGAACTCATGAAAGCCCACATTTTATTAAAATTAATCAAAAATAATCACAATATTTAATAAGTTATATTAGAAACAAATTTTATAAAAGATTGAAGATATCTTACGATCAAATTGGTAGAGTTTGATAATTTTTATACCATTAGATTTGTCTCTATGAAAAAATCAAATGTTATAAGCTTCATCAAATTCTGACCATTGGATCATGAGATATCCTTGATCTAGTAAATAAAAATCTTTCGAATTATTGTTGTATATTGGAACAAAATTATTGTAGATTTAGAATCTACTTAGGTTAGAATGGAATTCCAAATGTAGTCTAAGTTGATATGAAATTTAAAAGCAACATAAGTCAATCCTATATTTGGTACTATATATTGATAAAATTTAATAGCAACTTTATTTAAATTCAATACTGTAATAATCATAATATTATCAAAATAAAATAAAATATTTTATTATTTGTTTTTTTTTTTAATTTCATTTTTCATTCTTTGCAACTCTCTTATCTGATGACAGAATATTAAGATTATCCACTTTTACCCCGTAATTCAAAGAATTGCCTTCCAAAAGCTTAGTAATGAGTCGGCAACTAGGCAACATTAAACCTTATGTGATGACTTTTGCTTTTGCATTAAGGCTTTACAAGATTCAACAATATGAAAAATGGGGATGCGAAAAATCGTTATTTGGCAAAAAATACGTGATTAAAATAGTATTTTTTCAATGCTCATAGACATTCGAAAAGCATCTATTATGCAATCCTCTTCACAAGTAAGCGGTGTTGAAAATTCGTTGTGCATGTATTGTTTTTTGTACAAAAATTAACAATTAATGTGCAGTATGCACAAAAATAAAATAACATTCGTGTATAAAAAAATCTTTTTACACAGCATTTTTGTGCCGAAATTTCAACACTGCAAGTAAGTAATATTAAATGCAATTGCAAAAATGCATGAGACAAAATCGCTGCAAATGTTAAAATAAATATACCTTGTAGGAATAGTTGCTATCCCACTAATAATTGATGCAAAAATTACGTGTCATGCTTTTAAATTAATTTGCAATGTACTATATTATGAATAAATCCTATCTTAAAGTAATTTAAATTCCAAAACAACATACTCGATGAAATAATTTGGGATACACATAATTTTGTTGTAATTTGAATTGGAATTCTTTAACAACTCGGGCACATTTTAGAATTCTATTACAATCTATGTTTATTCAGAACCAGCCTAGGTGGATTCTAAATCTACAATAATTCCATTCCGACGTACGACATATCTACTTAAAATTTATATAAAAATTTATTTAAATTTTTAAAATATGTAAAATTTATTTGTTTTTTTTTTAATTCAATGTGTAGAAATAATTCCAAAACCGATTTACAATTATAGATCGTTTTGGAATTATTGAATTAATTCTCCTGCATCACTAGTTAATACTATATGCATTGTGCTTGCATCAGCATGCATTATGTGCGTACATATAATTCTATAACTGATACGTAAATTTCTATGTGATTTCTGCTCACTAATTGTCAGTCCCTATCAAAAAGCCTAAATAAGAGACCATTTAGTTTAAAATTTTATACCATCCTAAATTTTTTTTTTTTTTTTTTTGTTTTTTTATTTTATTTTATTTTTATTTTATTTATTTTATTAATTTTTTTAAAAAAAAAAAACAAAATAATTGCCACATTGAAGATTCTCTCAAGCTTCTCATCTGCGAATATTAACCCAATGGAAGATTCACACAATGATGATGTTTTAACGACAGCATTGGATATCAAATAAATTACCATTTATTAAACTAGATTCAAGTGGTCTTAAAGTGAATTATATGGGTAATATGGAAATGGGAATCTTTGTAGAAACATATTTTATTGGGTTAACATCTCGATTTGATGAGTGTATCGTAAATAACACTGTTTACTAATTTATTAAAAACTTTTCAATTAAAGATCCTAATGATTATAAAGCTACTATAGTTCGAGCGAATCATTCAATCCCTTTACGATGTAGAATATTTTACTTTGAAATTGAAATTATAAATAGAGGGGAAAATGGGTAATCCTAATAATTATTTTATGCCATAAACATCACTTTTATTCTTGCAATCTTTTTTTTTAATTATTATTTGATTCTATTTTTTAATAGAATGATTGGAATTGGATATTGTACAAAACAAAATGCTAAAAAAATAGACGATTCAAATGAAAAAACAGATTATATAAAGAATATGCTTATGCTTGGTATTATTATTATTATTATTATTATTATTATTATTATTATTATTATTATTATTATTACATATTAGCATATTATAATATTTTTAGGACAAGAAAATAATGAAAATAACGAAAATGCAAAAAATGAAGAAAATAAGAAAAATGAATCGTGGGAATGTGGCTATTATGGTGATGATGGACATTTTTTTTGTTCTGGAAGTGTAAAACCGTATGGACCAACATATACTACCGGTGATATTATTGGATGTTATTTAAATTTCATAAATAAGATAGTGTTTTATACTAAAAATGGGATTAATTTGGGTAATTATCGCCTTAGGAACTAAATTTTAATTTCCAAAATTCTGATAAGATAGAAATTTAATACTATAATATATCTCAAGGAATTGCGTGCAATCTGCCTGATAATTGGAAAGGCATTTTATATCCCTGTGTTGGATTTAGATCACAAGGCGGGTCTGTAAAAGTGAATTTCGGTCACAAAAAATTTAAATATTATGGTAAATTTATTTAACGCTACCTCTACATGATCAATGTGGGTTTAAACTTATACTGTATATATTTACTTCATTATAAAAATAGCAATTACCAACGAAGATATCAATATTAGCAATACATTGAGATAATCAATAGAATAAAAAAATTGATTAAGCCAAATAACGAAAATGCGCTTTAACTAAAATACCAAAC